GATAAGTACATGATTACATTGGAATCATAACTAGCGGGTAATTGTACGGTTTTGTCCGAACACCAAAAGCCCTCAAACGACCGTCTGTGATTCGTTATCATCGCTACATATGCTCTCATAAAAACCAGAATCCCTTCCCCAGGGGAAATTATAGCTAGTTATAACGGTACAGAATATGTCAGGTTATTAAGTTTAGAAGAATAAAACTATCTACCAAATGTTAAAATATTATGTTTTTCCCAGTAAATAGATATTATAATTTTAAGATATGGTTTATGTACGGAATAAATATATATACCAAAACAAAATTGAATATAATGTAAAATCAAAATAACTGATATTTCTCACAAATTTAAACCTGTTGGAAAATTATAACTGTATTCCTTTAGTAAGAAATTGGTCAATGAATCTAGATTTCCATATCAAAACCACATTCATATGCCTCATCTATCAATTATTGTATGTTTAATAAAAACATTTTTATTTTTGTATCAATTTTATAAATATATTTTCATTAAAATGCCATTGAGAACGCAACTAATATTTTGAAAGAAATAAAACTGGCTCATTTGTCAAGTTAAAATTCAAAAATAAGATTTGTATGTGTCACTTGTAGCATAACTTGGAGGATTCATGTATAAATGGCTGTTATACGTGTTGGAAATCAACATCATAATCTACTCTGTTAATATTGATAGAAGTATTTAACAGTAGTTACGATCAGATCCCGGTGTCAGTAGGTGAAAAGGGATTAACGGCAACCTGGGATTAATCTCCTCGCTATTCGGTATTAATTGAGCTTAAAAGTCTCTTGTAAAAATGTTAAATTATAATTTACTTTTCGTTAAGTACGTTCAAGAGGGCTTGAGGTGTAATGTTCTTGACTTTTCCATGATACTTGATAAGGAAATCGGTTCACTTATGACACTACACGCATATACAATATAGGCAAACTGAAAATAAGGGAATTTTGTTCTACAAAAACAAAAATACCAAAGGATAAATTGTTCAAAAGAAGTGTTCAAAATTTTAGATATGCAAACTCAAGATTTTAATAACTTCAACACAATCTGTACGAAACAATATTAATTTGTTAATAGTTAAATTTTCAAGTTAATCGGTTGTAATTCATGCTTGTAAATACAATATCTGAAATATCTTTTTATTAATTAGTACTATTACAATTTTCATTGGAGATTTTGAAATTAATATACCTTAGATCAAAATGTAAAAAAATGTATTCATAGAAATTACAGAATTTCATATTTAATTGCTGCACTAGCTATGATGTCATTCTTGTATGAAATATTTATTTATCACAATTGTTACATAGAACTAACGTGTCAGAATATATGTATACAAGATTGTGTTTATTTTATCTAATGTAGCATTAAAGACTGTGTCTAACAGCAGATGTTCTGAAATTTATCTTCATAACATGTCGACGTAAATAATAAAAACACTACAAGCTTACTGTAGTGACATGATAGTTTATATAGAAAAATTGGGATGTTGTACGTTTAGCCTTGAGTCAAAATCAACAACTCGACAAAGGGTATTCCGGAACATCCTCACACCGTCCGGGAAAATAGCCACACCTGTAATTAAAATACACCTGCACAATGGCACCTATGGTTGTTACACTAATAGAAAACGAAAGGTCTTCTGATCCTCTCTCCTGATTGTGTGATGTCATAACAACTGACCGCGGGCGTGGTCAGTCCTATTTGTCCAGCTCGCGTCCACCATTGTCCTGGGACATCTTTCCTAATCATTCAGTTGTCAAGTAACTCCAGTTCCACCCGAGGTGTTCCGAGTGTGTTTATGTCGCTCTGTATCCTTTCTAACATCTGTATAAAAGAGGCAGTGCTCCAAGATTGTGTAATGTTATAACATTTTAACAAAGTTTTAAAGAATAAAAATGCTGCTTCTTTAAATTGAGAGCTTAGTTTCATTCAATACTGCATGCGACTTAAAACGAGCCCGGTCTGTAATGTTTTGTAATATTAAGTAATGGACAATGAGTGGAGATTGAAAGCGAGCTGCTTTAGTCAAACTGTATTCAACTACATCAAAGAACACCAACATAAGCCAACCGCCATCTTTGTCATGACAACAAAAAATGCGATAAAAAATCCATCAAATCCGTGATTTCTTAAAGCCCAAGCGTCAGTATTTGATCTGCAAAAATGAAACGGAATTACTTTTAAAGAAAACACTAAAGCAGCTCATTTGATGATGTTATTGGACTTAAAATAGCAATATAACCGGAGATAATATATATATTTTTATTAGGCACTTTATAAAAATCGAAACTCTATATAAAACTAAGCTCTATAACAATAAATTTGAGTTGATACATATTTTCACAAGTTTGTTTAAAATTATCAAAACATTGATTTTTTAAATATAAAAAAGCAATGATTTGCATAAAACGGAGGTATATTACTTCCAAACAGTGAAAGTTCGCGACTGATTTTTAAATCAATTTAGAAGGCAAGCTGGTCAGGTGGTCCCGTCCCAGTATAAACAGGAAATGAAGTACAGATCCCTCTCCCTCTAGTAGGATTTATTAACAGTGTCATTCAAAACAGACGAGTTAAAGTGATTTTTCTTTTCCATCAGCTCACGGACATGACTTAAAATTTCGCAATAAAATGCAATAAAGGTTTGGTAACAAAGGCGAACACAGTCTTTTTAGACAGAAGAATGAGTTTCATCCTTTTAAGAAAGTTAATATCTTCTTGTTGAAGTTCAAAGTTCAAAGGAAAAGAGCTTAGTCTGTTCGGCACAATATTAGGATCACAAGGATCTTCTACAACGAAAAGCAACAATATAGCCTTTTCATACTTCAGTTAGATAGTAAAACTCGTCAAGGAATTCCCAAATAAATTACTTTCCCTTAAAATACAAGTTTGACGCGGCTGTTTTAGCGGTTGATCTCGTATTTGATAATACTCGTACAACGGTCCACTTTCTTCATTCTGTTCTATATTCCTTATGGAGACATCCGAAGGATTTTTTTGTGTTTGTGAAAATCGTGAGTCGAATTTATTTTCTTTCCAAATTGGATGAAATTTCTCATTGAGCTGGATCGAACAACAGTATTATGTCTAAAACGTCAGTTGAGTGATTTCGTAGTTAGATTGTGCTCCTCTACAGCGGCGACCGTTGTCTGCCTTGTGGATTTAGAAAGTGCAGGGGATTTATGCTGAAAGTTTTCAACCTTTTTATTTGGGTGAATACAATATAAATATGCAAATCTTAATCGTTTCAGGCTGTTAGGTTTAATGGACGATAATTGTGTTTAGATTTCGCGCTAAATTTCACTTGCATCGGGTAGTGTTTGTCGCTTTACATTCGAATGCTCCGCCACCTAGTGGCAATTCATGTATGTGAAATCTAATCAACCCAAAGTATTGTTTATATTTATAAATCTAATAGACAAGCAATAAACAATTAAACTTTCTGTTACGATTTTGACTTTTAAAAAATGACTATAATCACAAAACTCAAATTTCTTGACCGTTGACCACACAAGGCAGAGTCAGTGTCTCGCTTCTTTTTCTTACAAACTTATCATGATAAATTCATCAAGATACGTATCGTATGAAATTGATGCCTGTTACCTGCTGTTAAAACAGCACGGAGTCACAGATAACAACAACTGTCTATGTATATTTGTTTCGCCTTACATTGTTTGTCCTATCTGTGTAAAAAATGTCCCCGTGAACTTATGCTGCCATGCGAGAGAGCAGCGTCGTTGAGGCGTACTTGTTCGGGGATTGCCAGGGTACTCCGGTAGTGTGTCGATAGTGATTGACTGTTCCGGCCGAGTGGTCGGGCGAATTCCCAGCCAATAGTCGCCTTGTGCTTTACTTGGCCCTATACGATAGCTATCGTTCTATAGTATATGTGCCACCCATAGTGGAAACTCATACATGTACGATATCATTTAGCCGTCTTTATATATATATATATATAAACATATATGAAGAGAGGCCGGTGGATATAATTCATGGGTTTTTTGTATTTATAGTTTTATATACGTGTGTAAGACTTCAGCTAGGACTTTGCCATGTGTCGGTGAAGAAAACATACTTTGCATAAACCTATGGAAGTATACACACATGTGAAGTAACAGTTTTAACTCTCGGGACTACAGTGTTATCACGGAGATGAACAGCTGATTGTTGTCTATATTACCGTCCTCTACTTCGACGACACTGTGTACGAATTAAGTTTCATGTGGCTTTCAAAAGGATTTGGAATTTCTTAGTGTGCTCATTTAACCATTTTCTACATCGTGTCAACATTTTTTTTGCGTGTGAATTTATGTGTGTATGTGTGGGCCCTTTTCCAGTACCGCCCTTTTTTTCGGGGCTGAAAATCATGGCACGTCACGCACGCCTGGACATTTTCGAGGATGAATAAGGTAAAAAAAATCTAGGCCTATGTCATTTGTCCAATAGTGTATTTTTATAGTATTATGAAACCTCGCTAGAAGTGTTACGATGCACTATGTATGTCCATCACAACTAGACTCTAACGAATTCCCATAAGTACCTCATACCCTATGGCTAATTACACCCTTGTTGTACTAGCCTCCCAAAATGGTTCCCGTCCGCCGGATTAAACGATAATATACAACAAACTGAAGTGCCATTTCGGATTTTTCTGATGGTCAGATGGTATTATTGCACCTTAAAAACATCTTCTTCCGACAATTAGGACCACTCGGCTACTTCGATTACTATAGTTAATTAGCTCAACAAAAATATATGGACTAACGGAGGTGTCATTTAGAGATTTTTTGCACGAAGAGACACTTTTTTTTATTTGTTTACATGCTTGTAACAAGAATTTGACTTTTGTGTTTTAATTTCAGGCTGTAAAGAAAAGGCGGAAACTTGTACATTGTGGATCTCAGGATATTTTGAGTGAAGTTTTTCCGTGATTAGCTTATTTTGCATGTGAATGTTTCACGAAAAAGGGAACTTATGACAACAACACTGGACGAGAAAGCGATGCCGTCTAAAGGTAGGCACCCATATCGTCTTACTTAAGTACACGAGTTCTAATTAGTTTTGTCTATCATGATTTGTCATAGCGGCACGATTTTATCATCAAAATTCTCGAAATTAAATTTGAATTTGAATTTATAGCATTTGTGTAAAAGTTGTTCTGAAATTAATCAATTTTCATCAGGATTTTAATGTGATTTTTTATACTGCAGTTAAGAATTCTTAATCCCTGTTAAATCCTTTACAGTGATGTAGGTAATTTTAGTATACATAGATAGGCTTTAAGTTTATTGATATATATTAAATAAATAGGAAATGATTGTAATTTGTAAATAAACATTCCATTGTCTTATACTGGTCTTCGAAAAAAAAAATCGATAAAATGGAAATAGAATGAAATATTTTAATACAGGTATCATTTAACAGGACTGAAATATGAAAACAATCGTAGAATTTGATATGTCAGACAATTTTAATAACATAATCTAGGTTGTATTTCTTGTCATGGTACTTTGACAATTCTAGTTATTTTGTGAAATAGAAAATGAGAAATTGGAAGAAAATCCGTAATTCTGAGCAATGCTGTTGGATTTAGTTGGGGATATTTTGATGTAGAGTTTCGCGATCCGACTGTCGAGTTGTGGTATTGATGTTTTTGTTCCTTGATGAAACGTCCCATTTACAGGCTTATCATGTCGTAGAGAGAGTGACCAAGGAACGAGCCAACACAGATGTTTCCTCGATATGCATCAGCTACAACCAAGCACAGAATTATTTCAAATTGCCTTAAGCCTCAACTGGTGTATGTGTCGAAAGTGTAATGAATATCAACTATTTGTCGATCGTTAGGTTTCATCCTTCCCATCTTCTTCGGGTGATAAATCAAAGCGAGATACAATCATCTATGGTTGAGAGAAAATTGGTCGTGAACTATTGCTGCACATTTTCTCTTTAAGGGTTCTAAACAGATTGCAGTGAAACAAAACTAGAAACAAGCAGTTCTAGGTTCTGACGTTGACACACTGGATATCACCACACAAAGCATGCTAAGCTTTACGTGATGATACCGAAAAATTGGATTCAAATTAATTCTGTCAATGCTTTATCTGACCACAAAAAATATCCAGTGATGGATTCAAAATATTTATTGCAACTTCCTGTTTTCAAAAATTGTGAAAATGGTGTTAGTTTGTTTACTTTTTGTTTTTTACATCGCTGTTTATCTATAAGGTAAAGCTGAAGCTGGTGTAGACGTTGGTACACATGGGCTATTTTAGTGTCTGTAGTACAATTATTATTAGGACTGAGGCCAGCGTAATTATTGCTAAAGCTCATAGTCTTAGAGCAAACGGTTCCAATATCGAAACATCTCTTGGTCCACAACAGCAAACTTAGCCGAGATTTACACTGTGTATCTCTTGATATTGTGGTGGACGACATTCAGGAAATAATTGACAGACAACATAGTTGTGGTTTTCATTTTCAATACCAAATCATTCCATTTGTATATGTGTCTGGGATTCATATATCATCTTTAGAGGTACAATATAAAAAAAAACTAAAGTACAGTTATCGAAAAAAATTGTCTTCATCATATATGAATGTTAAAGTGCACATTTGAGTATTAGTATTTTCTAAACCAATAAAAAAAAATCTTTTGAGAATAAACTGAATTTCTATATCACAATTTCAAAAATGTATGAAGTATTTTTTTCTCAATGATAAATTAGATGTATTACACACATGTAGTGTTCATGCTTGAAAATAATTTAATGATATGCTTTGAAATCTTGACTAATTTACATATTAATGTATATTGAAAATGGACCAGATTTCAACATGTTTTGAAGCTTCTGTTGCATTTAATTTTCGCAGAGTGAGAAAATAAACTCAAATGACATTTTAATATTTTGTCGTAAAAGGAACATATCAAGTGCAATAATTAAGCACTCTTAAAGTCTGAAATTTTACGACTTCAGAATTGATAAAAATTCAAGTTAACACAATTTGCCAGGTAAACGACACGGTTTAATGATTAAAATGGGCTTTATATAGACGAATAGAACATCGGTTTGACCACAACAATTAATCTTTCCAGTTTCTAATGGACGAAAAACATTGTAGTTATGACAAAAAGGAGAGCTTATCACAGGGACCTGTCGACAGTACAATGTAACGTTAAAAGCTTGATTTCTATGTACGGTAAGCGGAAATACCTGTGTTTACATCAGTTTATCTGACAAGGTGTCTGTTACAATTTGCTCGAGGGTCAAAGTTCAAAGAAAATTCTCTTTCATGATGAAAAATGAATTAAACGGATCTGTCAAAATATAGCTAACTGAACGGCTTGCCTTTAATAATCACGTGTTCAATATTATCACAAGGTAAAATTGGGTTTAAAAATCGTAACGAATATTAAAAATTATTATATGAATTTTCATATTTTTTTCTTCGTTAATTTGCATAATTGTTATCAATCAATCACATTGGGTTTTAATGCATTCTGTGACAAATGGTATAGAAATTGAATAATCTATTCTAAACAAACATTAGGCAATCGAATGACTGGAATGATGGAACTTTGGTTTCCGGTGAACGATGCAATACGTATTTTTGTGGGATTTTTTTGTTTGTTTACGATATAACTACACATAGATTTAAAGTCCATGCAAACCTAGCATTATATTCACAACAATCTGTGATATTGATGGGTTTGTAGGATGGGTATGATATTGGCAGCCATTCATAGTTACTTCAATATGGTATGGAAATAAAAGCAGTTCTCTTCCTAAATGGACTGGAATCCAATATAGCGCATGCTTTTTAATCATTTGTATGGAGTTTCTCAACCGTGCACAGCATGTTTCTGACAGTGGCTTCGTATAGTTACATTATAGTACACACATCATGTACAGCAATAATAATCATCTACATATAAATCCGTATACACGTCTCATCCGACACGCTGTCCTTAACAAGAATCGCTTAGATGAATGATGGGGTCTTTTTGGTAGATAGTACGCACCATTTCGTAACTATGGTAACTATGAGTTCGTCAATATATATGTAAGATATCATATCTAAATATTGTGAGGTCAGAATAATTAAAGGCCCTTTAAGACAGGTTTCTGGTTGTGTTTCAAAGGTTTGAATAGATCTAGAAGCTAACTTGGCGTCGCCAAGGTTCACATGCAATCAAATCTTTATACCGGGAAATAACAAGATATTTGAGATGAAAGAAATATTGAGATTGGCTATCACTATTGAGGTAAATTTCGTTGTTGGCGGCTATATACGTAAACCGGATGTACAAGACCAGAACTTCGAAGAAAGCGAAACAATAAGCTGCATTGACATCAAACTTTAAATGTCATCATCTGAATAACTATGTCATGAATAACAAGTTGTATGGTCTCCACAGCCAAAACCGGAAATATAATTTTTAAAAGATATTTTGTTTTCTACTTCAGACGACGAATCAGTAGACTCTGTAGGCAGTCCCGGAAGTGCAAGCAATGGCGCCACCAACGGGAGCAAAAAGAACCGGACAAAGAGAGGTCAGATTTCCTTTCACTTTCAAACGTATCTCCGTACTCTGCACAATTAACCTAGAAGGATTAAAACATATTTAAGGCGAAGCACACATTGAGTTCTCAGTCACCATGAATATTGTTTCACCCCGTATCAAAACAGCACACAACAATACGAGGACTTAATGAACATATGGTGCCCACACAGATTAATGGTTAGCCCTATTTGTCCAACTTTAATTGCAAATCATGGTTCAAAATGATGATATTTTCTTCTTGTTTCCATTCCATTATCATAAGCCATATTATACTCAACAGCCACTCACAGAACAATTCGATGTCGTTTTCTTTGTTTAGATAAAATATCACCTCAATCTAACCTACAGAGCATTAATTATGGTTACCCGGGATTAGACTATGCTATTTATCGTTGTTATCTACTCGCGGGATGGATGTAACGTATTCAAATACCCTTGTCACGGTCTTATTTAATAGTTCTCTGTGCTGTACTCCAATAAAATAAATCGCCGATGAGTTCTATCAACGCATCGACCAGGCTCGGTATTGTATGATAACTACAGTGATCATTGATCCTGGATCTTGGTAGTTCCTCGGAGTAGCGCCTCTCAATCCACACCAGAAATCAGAGAAGTAATTGCTTGTTGGAGGGTTCGCTGACGAAGTACCGCGACGGCTAATTCGCATGTATGCCAATTTCTTCAAATGTTTTATTAGGGTCTTGTCACTCATTCCTAGAAATCTACATTTTAAAACATGCAATCAAGAACTCTTAATCATGGCTGCAACACCTGAAATTCAACATTTAAGAAATTGATCGTTGTGGAATCAGTTATTATCAGAGAAATGTAATTTTATATAAAGGACTCCGAAATGTCAGTTATAACGAGAAATTAAATCATTAGGGTTTTTTTACGGGGGTTGGTGTTTAAGATGTCACCACCGTCTTCACATATCTCCGAACGGCAACGGAAGTTAGAACGAGGCTGTCTGGGTCACCAGTCGGGAGAAAATTGATGTGGATAAAAAAACGGACAAGGAGGTCATTTGCAAAACACGGTCATTTGATATATATATATATATTTATATATATACAGCCAAGGTAGAAGTTGATAAAAGATTGTCAGTATAACGAAAACCATAACAAACTGACATTCACACTCGATTTACAGCCTTGAAAAATCAAATGTGTTGGAAAGGGGATGGCGATATATCAAGGGAGACAACATATTTGTGATAAGGAATATAAAAGGGAAATATGACTTTGATGAGACAGACTGGGGTAAACGAAGTGAGTAGAAAAATAAAAAAAAAACTTACAGTATTTCAGGAAAAATAAGAGGTTTTACTATTCAATATCAACAAGCACTAACAATGTACATTGGAATATCGATGAAATAAAGCAAGATTAATTAAGTGTAGATAAGCTATTTACTGGAAATCTTACTTCATAAATAGAATTTATCATACATCTCTCGTCATAACGAGCTTGTGTGGTGAAACAAATATTTTGTAAATTAAGATCCACTTGTTAACTACACTGAAATCGTGTTAAACATCAAAACTTCCACTGTTTGTCCATGAACTAATTAAAACGATGTTAAGCAATCGTATTCGCAAAACCTCGATAAAATGACAATTGTTTCTTTTCCCATATAGCTTACCATCATTAAAAAATATGTTGTAATCGATCTACTTTGATGTCTCCCGCGACATTAAGTTACGTCCGCCTTTATAATGCCAAACTGCAATATGAATAATGGCATTATATCGAGAATCTTATTTTTAAAATATCCTTTATATTTATATGAAATAACTATTTTTTTGTCAATATCTGATAATTGCAATGGTATAATAACAAAATTCAAACCTCAAGGTTCTTGATACAAATATGTCTAATTTTCGAGATTTTAGGGTATGTAGTTTTGATTTTATCGTAAATATTTGTTTTGATATGATATCCTGTTATTGATTCGCTATCTATCCTGTTGTGTGACGTCATTCCTTTGTATTCCAACAGTGATAAGATTTGAAGAGGACAATAACGGTAACTATGTTTACGCTAAATTACATATTTTTATCCTGTCGGAAATGTTGAAAATTAGACATATTGAAAAAAAAGGAGATTTTGAAAAAAGAAAGTATCATTTGATATGCTAACAAGTATACCAAATAGTGGGTGCTTAGTTCATATTAGTTTTTTCGTGTTTGGGTCTGTTACCAAAAGTATATAATAGAGGTCTTTTTTTTTTAAAAAAAAAATGTTTCAATGCATGCGAAACATAAATACATTGTACGTGATTCAGTAGCATATAATTGTACATCTTGTGAATCAAACACACAAATTTTTTTTCTTATACAAGTTATCAGAATGTTAACACTTTGACTAGTTAAAAGTATTTCATGTACAGTATAAATTAAGTCTGGAATACTATCAAGACTTGAATGTAACACGTAGAATATTTAGCATTGCTATTATGTGTTTTTGGCTTTATTGAATGACATACTGTATTACATACACGATTTGTTTAGTGTAGTTTGTCAAACATTTGTAATAATATCTTGATAACTGATCTTGCCAAATTCATTGTTCAAATCAGTTGTTCTTAATCGATACATCTAAATGTATAGATTTGTAACGCTAACAAGGCATACGCACTCAACAAAAAGTCAGTTACAAATTAAAAAAAAAAACTGTTGATTTTGCCTAATTATTTACTTCCTTGATAAAATATTTTAAAATGTCAAATTAAATATATCGTATACAGCACGTGAATATACGTATTTCCTTTTAATTCAAAGCATGGAATTACACGGATAGCTAGTATATAATTAAAAATGATGAAATGTCGGAAGTGATTTAACAAAACATATTAACTAAATGTAAACAAACGTAAGACCGAGAGAGAGAGAGCTGAAGACAAGGGCGATAACCTGATACGTTGTTTTTACTTGGGCTTCAGAATCACGTCTGTATTCGTTGTCTAGATAATACCGCGCCATCTGGTAGCAAGCACCTTCAAAGACGAACAGGGATTACGTTGTAAAACAGGATTTAACATTTTAAACAAAACCGTCCGGACCACTCAGTAAGGCTAAGCTCAGGGTGGGCTGCTGAATTCGAACATATATTCTCATTTAAAGAAAATACACACACTGCATTTTAGTGGCTCAATTACATTCGATCAACACGAACGTCCAGAGGTTACTGCTGCTGGACGATTACGTTGCAGTTTCTGTTGAATACGTCATTTATTATTGCGTACGAAAGTGTTAAGTAACGTTTAGTTCCTGGCTCTGACCGTATCGGATTTGGTTCCGATTTTTTTTTACAAATGAATTATCAACGTTGACATCAGTGTATCTGGTATATTAATTGCACGATGTTCATTTTTTTTGGAAATTTTCGGCTGAAATTCGAGATCGAGGAATACATTTTCTTTATAGAAAATAGAATGATGTTACAGGTTCAGGGTGGCCCATTTAAGTTTATCTTCTCAAACCAATGTTACGAGTCTGCCGTCTTGACAAGCTAACTTGCCTGCTCGAGACACAAGGATAATGGTTCCTAATTTGACATCCTGGCTCCCCTTGGATGAAGAAGATCTCTCCATAATAGTATCCTAATTTGACGTCCCGCCGGGAGGGATAGCTTTGTGATAGGTTGACATGATCTTACCACTTTTATAAGGCTCGGCTGCTAAACAGATAATTAGTGGTTTTATATTTCAATCATATACCCCCATATTTACACTGCTGCCCAACCTTGGTGTGGAGTTTAATCTGTGGAGCGCATACTGTGACTTCACTATTCGAAAACCACGAATAAACTTAGAAGGGGAAAATTAAGGTTGTTGTAAGCAAATGAAGATCAAATTTAGAGAAATTCTATGCTATTTTGTAATGTTACATGGGGTGAAAGATGATAACTATTGGTTTGTGTATTTTCTATGGTGGCAAATTTTGGGCTAATATTCTCTCACAGGACGTAATTTATGTTTTTAAGGTCTTAAATCAAGCTAAAAATCCTTTTAAACAGAATATACACCTAAAAAGTGTTATTTCAGTAAAAACGAATGCATATCAAAAGAATATTTATTATCATCAAAATTATTATTTGCTGCTACAAATGTAATATCTGGTGACAGAAATCGTGATTGTAATGTTGTCGGGAACGCAAAATCTTGTAAAGCTGTCTGTACGATTTTCCCCAAATGAATAGCAGTGTTGATACGCTGCATCGAAGTCGTAAAACGAAACATAACTAGTCATCGTCCTCTAAAACATTTGTTCTGACGTGTCGTAAAATATACAATTGCTGTGAAGCAATCGTTCACCAAAACACGAAATGATATTAAAGATACCGAGACACTACCAATAACTGACGAAGTAGTGAACGGTAACGACGTCGGTCTGGCTATTCCGGATTTTGTTGCCGTAAACGAGACTGGATATTTGTTGTAAAGTATAGAATATCGTAAAAAATGCAATTTTGTATTGGCTACAGCCGTTGCCATTAAAAAACCTAATATACCAATAACTAGAAATTTGGAGTGACATACTGTGTATATCGCCCAGGCCAGATCGATTTGCTGTGCATCACACCCAACACACGTGTAGCAAGGATTCGAATGAATTAGCATTACGTCGGCTTGTAAGATATTACAGCTCTCACGAATTGCAATTACATATTCAACCTCGTATCGATTATCACGCGTACGATAATGAAATCAAATCGTAAGAGAAAACATCGTAAAGGTAGGAAAACTGATTACGCTTCAGAAATTCATGGTATTAGTAATGCCGGATGTATAATGCATTTACTAAGTTGAGAAAACAAATCTATCGTCACTGTATCTATATTGTTCTATACAATTGCTGAATATCTGTTTTATGATACACAGGGAAATAACACTACTATCGCTATCTTAAACATTCAGCTTACGATATGTACAATAAACTGTACAGAAAGGTGCAATCAAAGACAAACATTATCGTTAAAACGTAGC